AAGCTGTGTTTTCAGTCTTAATCAGTAAAAATCTCTTGAGATTCTGGAAGACCACCAGCCTTCCTAAAAATGACTTGTGTTTTGCCACCAAGTTGTGGTTTTAGACAGTGATAGATAAGAGCATTTCTTCACTTTCTTGTTGAAACGCATTATCTGGGTTCATCAAAATTGGGTATCCCCGGGGCTGGGGAAGCTGAGGCAGCAGGATGGCAAGTTCACAGCCAGCCTCAGCAACTTAATGAGGCCCTGAGCAACTTAGTGAGACCCTATCTCCAACTGAAAGATAAAAAGGACGTGAGGATGTGTTCAGTGGTTAAGGGCCCCTGAGTTCAATCTTTGGTATCAAATTAAAAAAGAATTAGGTATTTCATTCTTTGTGGACAAGAGCCAGGTGGGGCTTGGCTGCCTGTGGCGCCTGCAGGGCTCCACTCAGCACCCAGTTCCCGGTTGATGCCCGGTAAGTGTTTGTTGAGAGGATAATTGTTTAATCTAGCATGAGTCACCCTGACTGTCATGACAGACGAAGTCATCAGAAAAATCTCTGGTCATGCATAAGAGCTCCCTGCCAAATCTCTGTTCTGATTGCTAAAGTTTGGGATCTCTTTGAAAAATTTTGGAAAACCATCTCTGGACTCCAAATTGCCTGATGAAAGACAGAATTGTACCTTCTTCTGTTCAGAGTCATTCTCTGACCATAAGAAGATTGTCACCTTTCTTGGTCACCAGTCCCCACTGCAGAAAACTTATTTTGTCCAAAATTTAAATGGGCAAGGATTCTTGAATGCACATATAATGGAACTGAAGAGCCATTTTATTTTCACAACTGTGGAGGTTTTGGGTTTGGGCATGGGGGTAGCAAACTGAAGAAATGGAGGAAGGGGTGACTTTTATCCATTTATACACCAAAGGCACTTGACCTGCCTGAAGCGCTAAAAAATGTACAGTGTTACTGTGCCATCTCCCACAGGCCAGTCCCCTGCCACTTCTAAAATAAAGAGTGTTATTTTCACTTGTGTCCAGAGGGACACACTTCCTTGATGCTCCCTGCAGGTGACTGACGGAATCCTCCTGTGGGGAGGCACAGGGCTGCTCTCTCTGCCCTTCTTGCTGCAAATTTCTTCTTTCTGTCCTTCGTTAAGTTCCAGTAAATCCTACTTAATTCATAAGAGCTCTTGGCTCTCAAAAGGAAATGTCTCATTTTATTTTTGTAAGTATAGGACAATAGTAAGTTGTTTGTTTTCTTTTCTTTCTTTTTTTTTTTTTTTTTAAGTGTAACGTTTTGATGCAAACGTGGGAATGATGACATCTTGAAAGGGCTGGGGTGGATCACACTGAGTCTCCGCAAAACAAACGTCTTTCCATTTGAGATGTGCAATTGACTGAGGCTTATCAAATGCTTTCCCACTTTCACAAGGCACTCATGTGCATTCTGCTTTGTCTCTGTGCTTTGTGCACAGATTGAACACAGTGCAGGCAGACTGAACAGGTCAGCACCCAGGCGAGGGGAGCGCAGCCTCGAAGCCCTTTCTCTCCTTTCACCTCCCTTTTCACACGGTGGGTCTCACCAGGGCCTGATGTGCAGCCGGCTTCTTTCTTGTAACTGCATTAATTATTGATATGCGCTGGACACATAGGGGCCCAGCAGTTCTCCAGCTAGTGTCCTTTGGCCTTGAAACTTGCACAGGGTCCTGCTTAGGTGCCAGGAGAGTCAGCCCGGCCACTCACTGCATGCCAGCTTCCTTCATGTCCCTGAATCCCTGAATGTGTTTCTTCCTGGGCAGAATTGGGGAAATGATTTTTTTTAAAGAGGACATGAGGTTTAAGTGGAAAAATCTCTATAAAGTGCAAATTGTTCCCCACGTGTTAACTATTTCAGCCATGGCTGTTCCCGGCATCCTCTGTTGCTTCTTCCAGGCAACAGATTGAGCGTTAATCATTAGGAAATTGGCCAGTGTTTACTCTAATTCACTAATAGTCATAGCTTTTCAGCTCCATAAGGGTGTTTTTATGTAATTCTTTAAATTGCAATGAACTTGCCATGAACTCCCAAAAGGACACCACGGAGGTGACACTCTGCGCTGCGTTCTGCTGCTGCAGAGCCTCCTGGGGCCCCGTCAGCCGGGCACACATAAGAGCTTTGGAGTGTGGACTAGGTCCTTGGAGAGAACACTCCCATGGAGCCACGTAAGCGTGTGGCTTTTGTCATTGGAAGAGCTCAAGCTTTAGGTACAAAGGTTTCTGTACCTTTTGGACTGTAATCCCAAGTTTCAGAGCTTCATTGCTCTCCTAGAATCTATTTCTTTGCCCCCAAATCAAGCATTAAAAACTCATCCTTTGGGCTGGGGATGTGGCTCAAGTGGTAGCGCGCTCACCTGGCATGTGTGCTGCCTGGGTTAGATCCTCAGCACCACATACAAACAAAGATGTTGTGTCTGCCGAAAACTAAAAAATAAATATTAAAAAAATTTCTCTCTCTCTTTCTCTCTCTCTTTGGAAAAAAACCAAAAAACTCATCCTTTGACTTTAGGACGTTCTCATGCAGATTCCAGTTGTGAGGCTCTGGCTGTATAGATCAAAAGCTTCCTTTGTTACCAAAAAGGCGGAGTGAACAGCATATTAAAATAAATGATCAGGTTGTGGCTCAGTGGTAGAGCACTCGCCTGGCATGTGCAAGGCACTGGGTTCGATCCTCAGCACCACATAAAAATAAATAAATAAAATAAAGACATTTAAAAATAAATAAATAAAATAAGTGATCATCAAAATTGATAAATTATATTACTGTGTTGTGTAGTGTACGGATATATAACAAGAAATCCCACTATTGCGTATGATTAGAATACACTAATAAAAATTTTTTAAATAATAAAATTTCTCCTATAATGGGGAAAACAAATCATAATAATGATCATTTTACTTGTGTTTGCTCACTCAGAGAGTGAGGTGAGTTTTCAAAAGCCCCCACCCAGGCCGTTTTTAAAAACACACCAAGAGTTTACGAACAGGACGTTTGGAAGCCACAGAGAAGAAAGAACAGAGGCCGGGCCCCAGAAGCAGACAGAGGAGGGGGAGAGAAGCCAGGAGGGCAGGGGGAGCTGCAGCTGGGGAGGACAGTGGCAGGAGACACTGGTGGCCCTGAGGAGCTCAAGTGATTTAATCCAGGGTTCCGCTGTCACGGGCTCCAGCTCAGTGGCAGTGGTCCTGCGGCTCCTGCACGTGAGATTTGGTTCCTCCCTCCATGGAGTGTCCCCTGCAGCTCCTGAGATGGGCTGCTTTGGGCCCTCCCTTCTCGGCGTGGTGTGTGGGCCCCTGCTCTCTGCCTGCTCTCCTGGTGTCTGCCACCTGTGACAGACACAGTGGCAGCTCTCAGTCTGTTCCCTGGGAGCCCTTCTCACTCTCCTGTCCCCTTCCTTGCTGCCTCAGTGGGTGATTTCCTCCATGTCCATGGCTCAGCGGCCCCCTTCAGTGGCCGTCTCAGGAGTCACAGACCTGCGTGTGCACCCCCCACACCTCCACTCCGCGTGAGCCGGAGCAGCCAGGTGGGCAGGTATGCACCTCTTCACGACCTCTTTTCCTCCTCTCTTCAGAGCAGGTGGGATGTCAGGGCAACTCAAGTCTCTTTCTGTGACAGGGTCAGAGTAAGACACGTGCATGCACTTATCCATTTATTTATCCTTTCCTATAACAAATCTGTATTGAGCCTCTTTATGAGGCTCTGCAAAATATACAAAAATAGATGAGGTGAGCTCTCGAGAATGGCTTATGTTGAAGGTAAAAAGTTTCTAGGGACACCTGCAAGGCAGTTATACGCTCTTGGTGAGTTCCGGGTACTATAACAAAGTATCACAGACCAAGTGGCTTATAAACAGCAGTGGTTCAGGACACAAAGTCCCAGAGCAGGTGCCAGCATGGTGAGGTCCTGGTGAAGGGCCTCTTCTGGGATGCACACTGTGTCCTCATGTGGTGGAAAGAGTGAGAGAGCTCTCTGTAGACCCTTTTATGGGGCACTAATTACGATCATGAGGTCTCCACCCTCATGGCCTAATTATCTTCCAAAGTCCCCAGATCCAAGTGCCATATCTCTGGCATCAGGGTTCCAACACAGGAGATTCGGAGGACACAAACCCTCACTCTATCGCATGTTCTATCAGTCCTCCCTGCGCCCAGCTCTGCTGCCTGCCTGTGGGTCTCCTGGGAACAGGGTTTCCTTTTCTAGAGCAGGCCCTTCTGCCTGGGTAATCACAACACATTCAAGTTCTTCCTTTGATCTTTCCCAGAAATTTCAATCTTTACAAAAGTTCCTTCCCCAGCGCCCCTTCCCAGATTCCAACCACGCTCATCCTCTGGTTATAAGGAATGAGCGTGAGTGCTCACAGGGGCAGTGACTCTAGATGGTGGCGTTTTGCACGTGGCAAAGCATTTTCTGTCATTACCTGTGGCATCCTATTTGTGTTTGTCCCAGGTGTACCTTTAGGCCAGCGGTCTCCAGTATCCGCACTGTTGGCCTTTGGGCTGGCTAATTCTCTGTGTGGGGCTGTCCCGGGCATTGTAGGTTATTTAGCAGCATTTCTGGTCTCCACCCCCTAGATTCCAGTAGTGATCCCCTTCCCAAGGGGTGACAACCATAAATGCGTCTAAACATTGCCCATGTCTCGCGGGCGTTATCATCTCTGGCTGCCTGGCACTGCCAGGCAAGGGAGGCACCCTCAAGGTCGGGTCGCACGCCTGTAAGCCCCAGGGTTTGTTGGAGATCTTATGGCTCCGTTTCCTCTGTGACTCGCACTGACCACCCCAATTATAAGGCACTGGGCAGGACATTGATTCCAAGTGGCATCAAGTGTCACTCTGAAAGCCTTTGATCTCTGCAGGTAGGATTCTAGCACAGCTCTATCTCCACCCACCTGGAAGTGGACGACCTCTGTATGTGTTTTTACACTCAGCAATGAAGTAGGATTGCAGTAGGGAGATGTCATTGTCCTCCACTTCCCCCCTCTCAGCAGCATCAAGCGGACCAGCTCTTCTGAGCGCGTATCTCCTGGGGGCCGGCGGGAGAGCTCTGGGGACTCCAAAGGCAGCCGGAACCGCACAGGCTCCACCAGCAGTTCCTCTAGTGGCAAGAAGAACAGCGAAAGGTAAGGATTCCCCCTGCCGCTGCCAGGCCATCTGACAACCCTGGCCCCAGGGACAAATCAAAGATCCCTGTGTGCAGACAAGCTGGGGACTCTCAGGCGCAAGGTCAGAGTGCTGGTCACACCATTTGAGGGCAGCTGTAGTCAGAGTTCACTAAGTCCTCATCCAGGGAGCTCACCTGCCCTCCCGACTCCCAGTGCAGGTCTGGGCAGACTAAGCCACTGCTGGCAATTTGCAGAGCGACCAGGGAGCCCAGGAGGCGGTTCTGAGTTCCCAGATGAAGTGCCTTGTTCCTCTAGAACACCTGCTGCCATCTTAAAACTGACCTTAATGGAATGTTTTAAGTTTGTCAGCAACATTTTCTAATATAGAATGGGTCAAAAGTTACAATTTGATAATTGGCCAGAGACTGCTTTCAGTATTGAGTTGACACAAGGAATATGGACCACTTTCCTTCCTGGTTTCCACCTCCCTTTTTATGAGGTTGGTACTTAATGGATCATAACCAACATCTGTGACGTTCTACTCATACATGCTACTTTTTGGCGTTTTAACAGCTTGTTTTGTATGTAAGAATGAATTATGTAGATGAGGTCAGTTTTTCTGTGTGTATCTGCCCAACGTGTGTTGTTCTAAGTTTTCAAACATTGTGCTTTGATTTTATCCCTTCTGTTTAGCAAAGCTCAGGAAGGAATTTCAGTTTCAGAGGCTAAACATGTTTCTTTTCAAATGTTCACGTAAGAAGGCTTAGTCATAATGCAGCCGTCTCCAACCAAGGGTTGTACAGGTTCCAAGTCTGTAAATCCGCTGTGCTTCATTCCTGTTCAGGACACAAAACTCTTTTTCAGTTTCGTTCCTAAAAGGTATTTTTTGCAGAAAAAAACATAGACACTTATCAATCTACAGCAGGTCAGTTAACAATTTCAGAAACCATTGACATAGGTTCTGTCTTCTAATTTAGACAGTACTTTTTAAAATTTTTTCCCCTAGGAACTGGGGATTGAATCCAGGGGCACTTACCACCAAGCCACATCCCCAGCCCTTTTATATTTTAGGACAGGATCTCGCTAATTTGCTAAGACTGGCCTGGAATTTGCAATCCTCCTGCCTCAGCCCCCAGAGTTGCTGAGATTATAGGCCTGCACCACCACTTTGGGCTCTGTTAGTACTTGTTATCAGAAGATTATGCTAACGGGGTGATAATGCTTTGGAAATAAGGCCAGGTGGTCACAATGGCAGCAGAGTGAGCCAGGGGGAGGTGCAGTGGCTCTGAAGGCTTGAGTTCCTGGTTAGCCTAGAAGATGACCTGAAATGTCTAGATCTTGGCCGTTCATATATACTTGGCTACTCTTCAGCCCATCTGATTTTTATTAAGAATTTCCAAAAAGAATCTGCATTGTGTAAACTCCAGATCTGTTTTATCTTTTAAATCCTATGGCTTTGGTAAATGTGCTGGGTAAATATTTCCACAGAAGATATTTACAAAGGGATTTTTGAGAAATGCCACAGTAGGAAATTTTGATTTGGAAGTGAGGGACTGGAAAAGTTTACTAATCATTTCCTAAAATAGTTCAGGCAACTCAAAGTGGCCATTTAAAAATAAATCCTTTTCCTCTCTAGAACTTAGGGAGGGTGGAGGCCAGCACAATGTGAGCTGTCCAGTTGCCGACAACCTCCAGAGAGTGTGGCATCTTCCCCGGGGTGACTGCTGGTACTGACAGGGCCTGGGGCCCAAGGAAGTCACAGCAAAAAGGCAGTTAGGAAGCATCAGGAGCAAAAAGTCAAGGTGGACGTCCAGGCACTGCCTGACCCCTTTCCTCCATTCTTGTCTCCATTCCCCAGGGGCAGCCCCCAGCCTGGCTGCTCTGACCTCACTGAGGAAGCCTGCCTGGGGGTGTAGACAGGTGCAGAGGAATGAGTAATCCGCGGGATTCCTTCTCAAACATAGCTACTCACAGGTGGCCTCAAGAGTCTGGCCTCCACTCTCACTAGCTCGCCTGTGTCCACTCTTCCAGTGGCCACCTCCTGTTTCAGAAGACTAGCTTGTTGGTTACTGTCGGCAGCAAGACAGAAGGCGAAGGCATGGAGGGCTGCTTTGTGAGCCAGGCTCGGCCTTCGCTGCTCCAGCTGGGTTTCGTCCTCTGGGAATTCTACACTGATGCCCTTGAATCTTACGAATGAGTGAGCCCCTAGGAAGCACCCGGCACAGGGGGTGGTGCTCAATAGATGCCCCCATTGCTGTGGTGGAGACACAAAGAGAAACTCATGCAGAGCACAGGACAGTGATTGACGAGGCTGTCAGCGATTCTCCACTTGACTTTCCTCGTGTAAGTGAGGGTGTTCAGTGACACCTCAGGTCGTCAGTCTCATTTGCCTAAGCAGCACAGTCCTGTGGTATAGCCCAGATTTTGACACAATCCAGCCATGGTTGGGGGGACGTGAAGTGTGATGTGTCCCTATAATTCCCCCAGCTGCTGACAAAGTGGCACAGCATGGGAATCCACAGGCCAGGATGGCTCCCAGCCTGCCATGGCTGGAGGTCCTGCCCCTTCCTCTCCTATAAGCTCTTTGGGAAGCACGTGAGTACACGTGAGCTCACAGGCGAGCTCGGATTTGGCCTAGCCGAGAAGGAGTGCGTCACCCACACAGCAGTGCTGTGACTCGGGACAGCTGCAGATTGCTAGCTGTGAAGTCTGGTGTTCCTGCCTGTGAGCAAGGCTGTCTGTGGCACATAGACACGTCTGTACAAATCAGAAGACATTCCCTTCACTCAAAATATAATTCCCCATCGGCATGTGTATTTCTCCTCAATAATAATAACAGCAAAAGCTGTTCTGTATACATTGTTATCACTTGAACTGTGGAACAGAAAATAAGTGGTTTTGAAATCCTAAACATTCACTTTTTCCAAAACACAATAATTTATTTTGAAATAATTAATGTATTTGTTTTCATAGAAACTCTTTATGATAGTTTTTGTGTTCTTGTTGCTATATCCCTCATCTTTAGGACTGGTCACTGGATTTGACAGTTTTCTTGTGACAAGTAGATTCTTAACCTTCATTTTAGAATGCTTGCCATTTTAAAATATTTTGCTTATAGCAAGCTGCAAAATTTTAAGAACATTTAATCTTTGTACTGACAAAGTTTTCATTAAAAACAAAAGCAATGTAGAGCAATGTGATCTATTACTTTATGTATTATTGATAGTAGATGAATATTAATAATTATGCAGTGGTTCATGTCATCATGAAGCACTTAGTAAATTTAAAGAGGTAATCAGCAATAACATTCCAATGGCAGACTTGTAGTTAATGTCCTAATCCAATGAAGGACTTTTTAAAAATTTTAAAATAAGCATTTTCCATCGAATAGAAAAATAGCTACTTATTTAGAAGCACAGTTTATGCTACCTGTTGCTAGATCAATCAAGTGTTTCAGTTAGCACTCTGGTTCCCCCTTTGCAATTTCTGAGGAAGGAGATAAGTCACCTTCATTAGCAAGACACCATCTAAAGGTTGTAAGGGGCTGATTCCTAGAACAAGAGATGTTTCCCCCTCTGCTGAAAACTTGGTTGTAACACACCTACACATTGTCCATCTTTAGAACGAACATATCAAATACAGCATCCAGCAAGCAGCGTTGCCCCAGGTGCAGCGCCCCTCTGTGCCCAGCACCCCTCTGTGCTCAGCAGCCCTCCCGCCTTACGAGACTCTGAGGTCAGGAGCCACTGCCCAGAGCCCCTCCCTCCTAAAGCCCCAGCATGCGACACGGTCTCTGGCAGCTCCCTTGAGCTCCTGAGGGCTCAGAGTTGTTTTTCTTTAACTGTGGCGCCACTGAGCTATAATCTAAATCCTAATCCTCAGCCCAGGGTTCATGGCCTCCATATTCTGTCTCCTCACTGCCCTTGGGCTCTGACATCCGCGCCTCTCCACGGCTCTCACTTGCTTCCAGCAAGACTTTTTTCTCTCTTTGAGTTACTTTATTTATTACACAAGTAACCTGCTTTAGAACATCCAGATGTACAAAAAGCAATGAAAATCACCTATGATCTGGCTCAAGGAGCTCAGAGCTGTGACTTGTCACATTTCCACCCAGCCTGTGTTGCTGGGGTGCTGTACGGGCGGTGGACACTTCCGACGTAATCTACATTCTTCTGCGTGTCTTTTGCAATCCTGTTTTGTTGCTCTGTGAATATGCCTCTTTCAGCAGACATACTTTCACACAGTGTGATTTGTTATTTTTGTTTAAAAACATTTAAAAAAAATTTTTTTTAGTTGTAGATGGACACAATACCTTTATTTTTATTTATTTTTATGTGGTGCTGAGGATCAAACGCAGCACCTCACACAAGTGAGACGAGTGCTCTATCACCAAGCCACAGCCACAGCCACAGCCCTAAAAACTTTAATATGAAAATAATTTCACACGAAAATAAAAATAGCACAAGGAGCACCTTACAGCATTGGTTTAGTTGGAGGTTGTACATGCAGCCGAGTGCACCTTAGTGGGACAGCCAGCTGCCAACAAGGTTTTCCTGATCCAGTCAGACCAGCCCAACGTCCGGAAATGTGCAGCTCAGAGTAGTTACTCAATAAATGTCACTGAATGGTTTATCCCATTTAATATAGCCAAAGAAGGTCAGAGTCGTGCTGCTTCGTAGCCACCACCAAGTTTGATTCCAGTTCTGCCACTTTTTGTTGGATGATGGTAAATTACTTGATTTCTTCTGGGAATTTCTCAATGTCAGTAAAAAATAGTGCCTACCTCCCAGGTGTTGTGAGGGTTTAAAAGACCAGATATGCAGAACCCAGCACGCCTTGCCTGCAGTTGGCAGTTAGGCGGCCTCCGTGGCTGCCATCCCCACCCCAGAACACTGAATCGCTGTTTGTGCTGTCGCGACACACAGCTGAAGTGTCTCTTCCTGGGGACATTTTGTAATTCCCCAACTCCCTGGGTCTGTCCTTACCCAACCTGAAAAAAGAGCAATGAGAAACTGGAAATTTGTGTCATCTTACTTATTCAGTCCCCAGCACTGCTTAACTTAGCACGGGCTGTGTGCACAGCGTGGTGCGAGACAGGGCCAGCAGTAGAAAGGGGCAGCATGAAGGGACTCATCCTCTCTGCAAAATTAATGACACAGTGACAGATAAGGGCCAATTTCCTTTAATTTTCCCAAGACCCAACACAAACCAGTAAGCAAAAGATAACATAATAGAAACCTGGGTAAAGGGTTTGAACTCACAGTTCCCTGAGAAAGAGATTCAGATGGCTAGCTAGCTAACACCATTGAATGGTCTTAATTAAAGAAATGCTACCTAAGCAAGCTGAGAGCATCCTGAGAGCTTGGACAGGGAGTTACTCTCAGACAGATGCCTTCCAGCTCTCAGTAGGTGCCAGGGCGTAACCTCTGCCAAGTGACGTGTGTGCCTGGGACCTGGGGGGGTGGGGTTGAATGTGCTGGGTGCCCCTGTCCAGGAAGCCTTCCTTCACATGGTCCCTCTCCTGCCGCTAACTTGTCTCTGACCCTGACTCCCACCCAGCTCCCGGGCTCCCTCAGGCTGGGAGGGGAGGAGACATGTGGCTCCTTAGCCTTGTGCCTTGGGCACCTTGCACAGTACCTGGCACCCAGTGTGTGGTGGGTGGATGAGGCTGCTGAGTGCTCAAGACGACCAGAGCCATTTAAGACCAGGTCAACAGCGCCACCTATGGGTAGGCAATTTAACACCACCCTTGCAGAAACATTCCCTCTGGGTGGAAATCAGGTGACGTAAAGTAAGCATCTTTTTCCTGAAAAGATGGCTTCACCCTTCAGGCTGTGAGGTCATTTACCTTTGGGTATATTCTTAAGTGATCAGAGCTAATATTCTTTAAGTTGTTTCACTTCTGTGACTATCAGGCGAGGAGCCCAGAAAGTCAGTTAGGTTCTTGTCAGTGATATTGGAGGAAGAGGGAAGTAGTATAATTTATAAGGAAGTGTGAGGCACTGTGTTACACTTCTCATTTAATCCTGCCAGTCCTCACAACACAGTGGTCCAGTTTCTATTTTGTAGATGAAGGAGACGAGGCTTATGGAGGGAAAGCACCTTGTCCCAGCACCCCCCACCCATCAAAATCTGTGCTCCCCTGCCGAGTGAGGCTCAAGCTATTGGTTCTCATTGGCAGTGTCTGTGAGGCAGTAGTTGGGTCCCCATCAGAGTTTCCAGTGGCTTCTGAACATTTTTAATAGGTGCTGCCTGAGAGACCCTGGCCCAGTAAAAGCCGTGTGGAGCCATTATTCACGTGGTAGGGTACTGTGACTTCCCGTGATGATTTTATCTCCTCTCATGGAATCCTTTCCAAGGAGAGCCGCATTGTGCCGAGAGCCGGTGGTGTGGATGAGTGGCAGGGAGGTGGCATGCTGAACTTGGTAGTGGCTCCTCCTGACCACACCGTATTAATCATTTTAAAAATGAGGTGCTCTGCTCAGACAGCATCTGGCTCCTGCCAGCCTGCCAAGGGCCAGTGCCAGGTGCTGTGAGGTCCTTCCTGGGTCACAGTCTGTCTGAGGCCTGACACAGGGCTCAGCCTCCAAGCCCTGTCAGGACATAGAGTGAGTTGGTCCCCCGGATGTTGGTGTGAGCGCAGCTCCCCACGGGGACATGCTGTCTGTCACATCAGGTCCTAGCAAGCTGTCCCCTGCACTTTCCTCCCTGTGGACACACTGCAGAAGAAAAGGAAACAGCCACCCAGAGTCCAGGTGGGCACTCGGCCCTCACGGGAGGCATCAGTGGCCACTTCCTCTGTTGGTGGCAGCTGCGGAGTCCTGCCTTCACCGCCCACACACACATCCAGCTGCGAGGACCTCTGAGCGTCCCAGGGGCTGCTTCTGTCTTGGACACACCCTTCCTGCTGACGCAGGCGGTGGGGCTGCAGGGCAGCATGTCTACTCCAGAGGTGCCGCCAGGCCAGGGCAGCCAGGAGGCCAGGCTGGCCACTGGGGGCCCTACTGCCCTCCCTGTGGGCAGTGCCTATGCACTCTGGGCTGGCCGGGCAGGAGGAGGACACTGTTCCCTCTAGGATAGGGCAGGGAGCCCCACCCCAGCTGAGCTGCCATGTCACCCAAGTCACTTTTCCACCTAGCACACTTTGAGGAATAGGGTCATCAGACAAATGACACCACGCCTAGAGAGGCCATCGCCCCATTCTCAGCAAGTCCACACCTATGCTTGCCCCCTGGGCTCAGGGAGGTGCTCAGGGCACAGCTCTGGCTGACGGGCTCTGATGGGGCCACAGCGCCTTCAGCTGTGGGCCATCGTCACCACCTATCATGGTGCCTGGCCGAGGAGGTGCTCAGAAGAGCCTGTGTCATTTCTCAGGGGGCTCTTATGACCTTCACCTGTGGGCGCAGGTGAACTGGCCTGCCCTCAGCCCCTCCTCCTGCCCGTTAGGGAAGGTGCTGGTGCGTTGGCAGGGAAAGGGGTTTTGAAGTGAGTTCATGGTTTCTTTTTCTTTCTTGATCTTTCGTTTGTTGTTGTTTTTTTTTTTTTTTTTTAAAGAGAGAGAAAGAGAGAATTTTAAAAATATTTTTTTTTCAGTTTTCGGTGGACACAACATCTTTGTTTTATTTTTATGTGGTGCTGAGGATCGAACAGCGCCCTGCGCATGCCAGGCAAGTGCGCTACCGCTTGAGCCACATCCCTAGCCCCAAGAGTACACGTTTTCTATGAAAAAGTAATTTTCTAAAATAATGAAGCAGAGCAGTAGCACATTTTCTAAATTCCGCACCAAGAAGTGATCATAGTTTAGATGTGAGGAAGCAGCTCTTTGGTGCCACCTCAGTCCCCCGGCTCTCACTGATCTTCATTGTTTACATTCACATTACCTTTTTATGACTTTTAATAGAAGATTTCTCAAGGCCGGGCATAGTGACTCACACCTGTCATCCCAGCTACTTGGGAGTCTGAGGCAGAAGGGTCACAAGTTCAAGGCCAGACCAGGAAATTTAGCTAGACCCTATCTCAAAATAAAGGACTGGGGGTGCAGCTCAGTGTTGGAGTGCCCCTGGGTTCCATCCCAGTACTGCAAGAAAGAGAATGAGCGAGAAGATGGGCAGAGCGGTCTTCTGCCTGGCTCTTGGAGCACAGCACCAGGGGTCTGCGGGTTCCCTGTTTGGGGGGTCAAGTTCCCCCATGGATTTTCTCTTTCTCAGATGAGCGTAATCCCTAATTGAGTTTTTGCATTTTAGAAAATGTCCCAGTTGTTTATGTCTGTGCTCGTGGCTTTTGCATCTTTCTACCTTTGGGATCATTATGAGGAAAGAAATAGTTGCCTTCCCTGAGCATCTGCATCTGCCTCAGTTTTGGGTTTCCATAAGCACCAGAGGCCGAGTACTCTATAAAGAAAAGAGGTTTATTTTGGCTCATGGTTGTGAAAAGTTCAGGATGGGGCAGTCACATCTGGCAGGGTCCTAACACAGCCGCCACATCCATGGTGGGAGCATGCACAGAAGAGGCCGAGACCCTGAGTGACCTTGGTTCATAATAGTCCTCTTTTGAGGTAACTGGCCCAGTCCTGAGAGCCCTGGCTCACTCTGGGACACCTAATCCAGGCTCTCGAAAGACAAGAATCCATTCATGAGGGTGGTGCCCTCATGATCTCACTGTCCCTTAAAGATCCCACGAGTCCTGACACCATCACAATGGAGACCACAGCAGCACCCTGACCTTGTCTGGAGTGGAGGTAGTACTGTCCTTGCCAGTGGCTGACCTGTCGGGGCCTGAGCAGTGGCCCCACTCTGCTGTGGTGTCCGAGGGTCTGTAGTGGAAGTTTTGCTGGTGGAACTCTAGCCCTGCAAGTGACGTTGGTCCTTCAGAGGCCCGCCCCTCCAACCCCTGAGAGACTTGGTCCGCAGGTGCAGACACAGGTGGGTTCAGCCTGCTTGGTGGGGTCAGCTGGGCAGCTGGGGTCAGTTCCCCCACGTCTCACATGACGTGCCTCTGGCCTCCCTCCTGTCTTCCTCAGAACGATCATCTGCCCAGGAGAAGAGCACACCCACAGGTCTCTCATCAGGAAGTTGTAGCTTTAAATTAGGTCTGTCGGAAGAGCGTGGAGAAGAGAAACCATTTCACACATTCAATAGAGCCGTCCTTGAATGTTCCCCTCCTCTCAGGAGTAGCACAGCTTGGTGACAGACGGTTCCAACGTCTTGTACCTAGTTTTGGACATTTTGTTACCTGTGTTCCGTTTGCGACCACACTGGTTTTGCTGTTCTTATTAAGGCACATCATTGCATGGCTTTCCCGAGGTCCACCCCTGCGGCGTGGGCTGAGGGTGGGTCAGGGAATAAGACCAAACACCCAGGCACCTTTTAAAAGATGTTTTTGGTTTATTTCCACAGCAAACCCAGGGAGCCCGTGTTCAGTGCAGGTAAGTCTGATTTAATTTTTGTATGGGTGTCCCTCCCTCCCTTGGTCGGCCTTAATAAGTGGCTATAATGTGGATCTTGACCAAGGGGCAGATAAGCAGTAGCTGTCTCGGGGTCAGGTGGTCCTGGTATTTGGGGACTAGTGGTAACGGGCAGCCTGGTGTACGGCCACGCTCTCAGAGAACAGCAGGATCGTCATCCAGCAGTCACAGGGCCGGACCCTCACCTGCCCGCTCTAAAACCCATCTAAGACACGCCAGGAAAGAGCTCAGAGTGGTGTGCCACCGCGTATGTGCATTAGAACCTCTAGGGCAAAGACTTCTGGCCTTTCATTTTCCCTTACTAACTGGGCTTCTGTCCACATGCGCATTTCTCTCCCAGAGAAGGTTTCTGGTGCGTTGAGCTCTGTAACTTTGTCTAAAAGTAGCCTTACTTTTTCTGCCTATGGTTTCCTAAACTGCAAACTAATAGTTCATGTGTACCTTTCCATGTGTCTTTTTAAAGCACACTTTGTAATAAGGTAAATGCTGGGGCTTTTAGCATTTTAGTCTTATTTTAAAGCGTATTTAAAATGCAAAACAAATTTTTCAGGTGCGTAGCTGGTTAAGTTCATGTAATGTCAATGTCTCCAGTTTTTCCCCCTCAAATTCTAGATTAAAATCCAGAAGGCAGCTTTGTGTCCCTCAGCACGAGCTCTCGTCTCATTCCATTTTCAGGAAGCAGGAAGTCACTCACTGAGAAGGTGACTGCCCAAACTCTCAGGCCCACACCTCGAGCGCCTTGTCAGAGCCCCCCAAATGTCCCCATGTCCCGCGGGAGGCCGGGCAGCTCCTGCCAGCTAGTTAGCCAGCGCCCCCGCAGGCAGGCCGGCCACACTTGCAGCACCCACGTCTCTTTATCTAGCCCTTCAGTCTCTGTCTCCGAAATCACAAGGGAAGCGCCGGGTGACGCACTGCAAAGGTAGGCAGCATTCCGAGCCCGTAGCTCTCTGAGCAAGGCTGCTACCCCGGCTCCAGAGTCCGCTTTCATACAGGCAGACCCTCCTTGTATGAAAACGCTTCTGCGACGCAAACACCCCGTTCATTTCTCGTGAAAGCATCCCTGAGCAGTTCCTCGGGTGGCCTTTAATAAGCAGCTGTGATTTGGATCTTGCCTGATTATTGGCTGATTATAGGAATTCTTAAAGTCTCCATCAACCTGAAGAGAGCTATAGGGCAGCCCTGGATGTCCCACTGTTTGGCACGGACCCCGCACTGCTGCTGGCGTCTGCCCACTCGTGCCTGCCGGGTTGTGATTGCACGTGGTCATCCTAACCAGCCTGAGAAAAGCATTGCTTTCCCTCGCTGCATTTTGGCTTTAGACGTAGGACATCTGGGCCACTGTACAAATAGCCACACCTGGGCCACCAGTGCTGGGCCAGCATGTGACGACAGCTCACAGTGTAGGCTTCACCTAGGTGGACCGCGTGCCCTCGGTGGCCCTGTGTCAGCCGTGTCCTGTGAGTGCACAGGCAGATCATTCACAGCCTAGAGAGCCAGTGGAGTCACTTTTTGCTTGACTTTAATGCCATCACTCCTGCTTCCCTTCCCACTAGCGTTGGCTGCTGGGCTTTGAGAGCCCTCACTCATGGTCACCACTCAGTGTGGGGCGCTGAGTTTTGGGTGGGGCTCGGGCTCGAGAGGAGCTCAGCAGCGGATGGGGCATAAGGCACAGATTTGTGGCCAGACAGGAAAGTCCCTGTGGCACTGTGGCCAGGACCTTGGGTAAGGTGGCACCTAGTAGACCAGGCTGTTAGGCCTGCCTGGTCCGGCAAGTCAGAGGGCAGGCAGAGGGCTGAGATGTGGCTCAGTGGCAGAGCACTGGCCTGGCCTGCGGTGGGCCTGGGCTCCATGCCCAGCACCGCACACACAAGATGGCAGGCACAGGACTGCATGGAGGAAGTGCCAGGTGACATCCAGCTTGGCCCAGGATGGGTTTGGTGGCAATATAGATGACGACCCCGGGGCCATGAGAGAGCCTTGAATGGCATGGCCTCAGATGGGCAGCTCCCAGCACAGGGAGGGCAGCAGCAGCCACGTGGGGAACATTCTTTTTTTTTTTTATTATTTAATTTTCTTATGTGGTGCTGAGGATTGGACCCAGTGCCTTATGCATGCCAGGCAAGTGCTCTACCACTGAGCCACAGCCCAGCCGGCGTGGGGAGCATTCTAACAGGAGGATTGGTGGAGCGCAGGCTCAGCCTGTGCAGGGTGGGCACGTTTGAAGCTCTTACTTAGAGTCAAGCTGAGCACACAGAGTGGAGATCATCACACGCATGCCTTTAGACTCTAGAGCACATGCACATAATAACATAGATCAGGCCTCTTCATTTTTGAATAATATTGCATGTGGCATTGTTTGAAAATCCTTAGGAATAAGACTTACGAAACTAATTTGTGATTGTGGCACTCACAGTACTGTAATTACTCCATGATGTTCCTCACCAGTTTCCTCTCTGCGAATGGTTTTCTGTTGGGTTATGGACAGACAGCACTGGTTCCAATGGCCTGGTTTAAATGTCATTAAGCCTGGGTCCCTTGTGTGCAGAGGAGCCTCGCTGACTCTGAGCTGAATTCATCAAAAGCTCAGGGAACACCTCCTCTGCTCCTGCTGTGTCCGGGAAATCTAGACAGAACACCCCACGCTGGCTTGTTTATGGACCAGAGGTTGCCCCAGGTTTTCACTTCACCCCTATGAATTTTTAAAATATCAAGTTATTTTAATAGAAATATTCACTCTGGAAAGTTCTGCTTCCTGGTCTCCCTCTCGTGGATCTTCTGTTTTCCAGCATCTCCTGGAGCATTTCCCTTATCACGTCACCTTGCATGCGCTCCTCCTGCTGATTCTGTGTGCTTCTCATTTGAAAGAATCTGTCCATGTGAAAGATAGATGAAGGCTTGTTTTTATACTTTGATATAGCAAACCAACTTAAATATTGATACATTGGGATTTATACACATTGAACTCAGTAGGAAATTAGGTGGCTCCTTTCCCCTCCTGGAGAGAGAGAGGTGTGAACCCTGAAGTGGCCCGAATAGCTGTCAGCGTCTAGTTCTTTCTGCCTCTTAGGATTTCTTGCATATTAGGTACGTGACACACACGTACCTAAGTAAGCAGAATATCAAAAAAAAATTTTTTTATTTCTAGCCATTTAATTTTCTGTGTCAGCTACTTTTCCCTGGGATAGTGATTAGAAATGGCATATGGGTGAAGTTTTCACTTCTGCAGTGACAAGCTAGAGAGAATATGACATTTGTTTTCAGGTGCACTGGGGGGTCTTACTGACATCTTTGTTCTTTTTGTAGAGGAAGGATATGTGAAAATGTTTCTTCGCGGACGCCCTGTTACCATGTACATGCCCAAAGATCAAGTGGACGCTTACAATTTGGAAGCAAAAGCTGAACTCCCCACCAAGAGGCTGAAGCTAGAATGGGTGTATCCTTTACTCGTTGACTAGGTCTCACACCAGGTGAGCAGCCATGAGTGCTTGAAGTCTAGTTGCAAAATTTCACAGACTATAAGTCCTCTTGAGTTTTTGAAAAAATATTTTACTCTCACTTTTTAAAAGATTAATTTTACAAACGTGGCCTTACGTTACTACCCAGGACAGCATCCTAACATCCTCTAGAGGAGCTGTTAACGTGGGGCTGAACTGACTCGTGGTTTGTGGTTCTTGCTCCAATACATAGACATTGTTTTCTTGAAAATATTAAAAGGTTACATGAGTGTATGAATATATTTGGGGGAGGCAGGAAGATGGATCATTAGTTTATGGCCCGAATTTCAGTCTTTCCAAAAAAAGCTAACTTTGGTTAGTTAAAAACACATCAAGAAACAAGCTTAGTGAAAATGCTTAAAAACAGAGAGAATCTGGATTCTGGTGAGAATGAAGGAGCTGGTCACTCTTCACAGCAGCTGTCACGTCCTTGGTAAACCCTGCGAGGACTGTGGAAAGGCCAGGAGCTCTGAGAATTCACCAGGAAACAGCCACAAAAATGCCAGAAAATACGGAGCTCATGAATGAGAAAGTGGGACGGGCTGTCCAAAATGACCAGACCCCCGCTGGCAACACGGCTTAGACCCAAACAAAGGGGATCTCCCGGGAGAAGGACCTGCACTCTCCCCTCAGCCAAGTGGGAACGTGGCCATTGTGAGGAGCCCAAGTTCAAGGCCAATACCGAGGGCTTTAGGAGACGTGGAAGAATAAGCACACCTGCACACTGAATGGAGTGAACCCCGAGGCTACTTAGAGCCGGGTGCAGCAGGAATGCAATCAGCTTTCTTAAAATAGGATGCTCTCCCACCAAGGTCTAGGGTGCCACTGTCTGACCCTGCCCTGTCACTAATGTTCTTGGAATAGAACACTGAAGTTTGGAAAAGTGTGCTTCCAGGGACGCAGCCAGGGACGAGGAGCGCGCTTGGGAAGGTGGGGTGGCCGCTGGCTTCTTCTCTCCACTGATTCAGCCACTCATCTCTCACTTTAGAGGAAGGCTGCTGTGCTCCTCTCAGGCTGCAGAGAGGAAGAGCCCTCCGCCACCTCAAGCAAACGCTTATCTGTCACCTGTTCACTGCCAAGCCCTGGGACAAATTGTAAGCCAATGGCTTAAACTGAAGGTGTGGTGACTTCATTTAGAACAATGGCTATTTCAGATTAGGAAATCATATTTTATCATCTGTACCCAAATTTCTCCTGAAAAGAAATTTTGTTGTTGTTGTTGTTATTGTTTTAGATTCACATGTTAAAGCGTTTGGTGCCCCCATTTGGAATCTGTCTTGTCCCATGTCATTGAAGAGATCCATCTCTTCTCTAAGTCGATAGTGGTGTATTAAGTGGTTGATTCAAAACACCTTTATCCAGCCCACTTCTTATTCATATTTCAGAAGATGTAAAACAGTAAAATTTGCTTCAAATAAATGGTATTTTTTTTGCCAGGCTATTTTTACAGCCAAGTTCAAGTGAGGTTTTACACTCAAAATAGTTTTCAAGGTTATTTTTTAAAATATTTTTTTAGTTGTTGATAGACCTTTATTTTATTTATTTATATGTGGTGCTGAGAATCGAACCCAGTGCCTCACAATGCCAGGTAAATACGCTACTGCTGAGCCCCAGCTACTGCTGAGCCCCAGCCCCAGCCCCAGTTTTCAAGGTTTAAAAGTACACGTGTCAAAATTTTAACAAGGATAATTAGCCCTAAAGAGCTGGGGCCAGGAAGACCTAAACATTTTGTGTATGCATGGGTGTGTGTGTGTGTGTGTGTGTACGTATGATCTGTACCTTTTTATGAATACATTTATCATGTTTTTAAGGTTTTTTTTTTTTTAGTAAAAGAGTCAGTTCCTAGCCTCATAATTGACTCGATAAAACAGAACTAATTTTTGTATTATTAAAAATTTGCATTCACATTGCATCAGTGACCATGCCCAACTTGATGCAGCCACATATTGGACAGTGAGGGTTTGCAGGTTACCCTGTTTGGATCATAAAGCTGCTGATGTGCCTGCTCTCAAAGGAAAGCCATGTTTACCTTGACGCACACACAGCTACGGGTACCGGGGGCGAGACTGTCGGAACAACCTGTACCTGCTCCCGACAGGGGAGACGGTGTATTTCATCGCCTCGGTGGTGGTGCTGTACAACGTGGAGGAGCAGCTGCAGAGGCATTACTCGGGCCATAATGACGACGTGAAGTGGTGAGTCCTCAAAAGCTGGAGGTGGCATTAGCAGGAAGGTCAGTGTTGGGATGTGAGCCCCAGGGAAGGAAGGGAGCCACAAGCAGGCTCCAGCCGAGCTCTACTCTGGGCATGTTCACTGCTAGCACCTGGCCTGCTGACCCCCTCCAGGTCTAGCTGTCCATCCTCGGGCACAGAGTCTAACCAGCCAGTGACCTCAGCCAATGGCCCTGCAGGCCTGCCCACACGGCTTCTTAACACGTTGCACACAATGGCTATTTGCCTCGTGTTTATGGCTGGTCTACTCTTTCCCCAATTTGTCTACAGCTTTTGGTAAGAATATCATTCCTGGAAGTTTGGAATGAATAAATACATGTAGCATATATGTGTTTGTCCTGGTCAATGAAAAAAAAAAATCCCATTGGCACAGATGAGGTGCCTTTCCTATTTAACATTCTCCAGTGACTTCTTAACAAAGGGTGGAGGCTAATTAAGTGGTTCGCAGGTTAAAATGTTTATTTTCCCAGCAAAGGATGCTTTTGCCTTGAGTTTGAAAGTTCTCCAGGAGAAGACTGAAGATGAAATGAAGTGGGCACTCACTGTCCACGGAGGTTGGGGTTCGGGGGCTCATTGTGCCTTCTAAGAAGTCAGGCCTTGTGTTTCTTATGTTTAAATGTTTGACTAGATTGCACTTGGCCAGGGAAGAGCAAGGCCCGCCTTTAAGGGCTGGTGTCTTATAAATATCCTCTTTTCAGCCTAGCAGTTCACCCCGATAGGATCACTATAGCAACAGGACAAGTCGCAGGCACGTCTAAGGATGGAAAAGTAAGTTGTACTATCTGTTCTTATTATTAACACTGCTGATGGCGTCCCCCGCTTGGATCTGAACAGCTGACTCCCTCACCAGGATTGCTTACTGCCACTCACTGTCTCGCTGTGGACTTAAAAAGCAGCGTGTTCTTGCCTAAGACTTCACAATTCTGAACATACCTACTTGCACACACGATAAGCTTTGAAATTGCAGGTGCCTGTTTGATGTGTAAGGTTAAAGCCATAATGAACAGTCACTTGGGTGTGGGATGTCCTGCGGTCAGGCAGGTCAGTGAGAGAAAGCCAGCACGAGTTAATAGAGAATGACAGTGTTTCCATCTGGTGACTGTCATGTCTTACCAAAAACTCCTGTGGCATGCGATACCTTGTTCACAGAGGTATCACAAATAAGGCTCATATTTGTGTGACCTGTTACTAAAATAACCACATTCAGTACTTTTATTCTTATCAATGAGTTTTCTCTCAGAAAGAATGAATGTGACTGTATTCTAGGAAACATTTTAATAACATTGAATTTTAAACATTAACTGTGTGCTGTTTTCCATTAAAACTCTACAGTTGAAAAGAATTAATAGGGATAGTGGAAATCAGACTCCGGTTATGCAAATTCACATAAATGGAACAGGCGCTCATCTTTTTTTGTTTTTACACAGCCTTGAACATTTCTTTGAAATGAGTAGTGACCCTTTGCTCTGCCCTCTGGTGGCTTGATGTTGTATTTCAGTTCTGGCATTGAAATTGAGTCAGAACTTTTAGAACCTGAGAAAATGGTGTAGTTCCCTGAGCTCATCCAGTTTACCCTGGAGGACCGTGCAGACACCCAACTACTCAGAGATAAGGCCGGACCAGAACCCGGTTCACCTAATGCTTCTGACCACCAGAGACAGTGCCCTGCCTTGGTAACAAATCAGCAGGTTGCTCTACAATGCTTTCTTCTATACGGAAGAGAGAAGTTAGTATAAATAACCCTGGTCACAGTTGAGAGGGTTTTGAGCGAGTTATGACAACCCTAAGTTTTATTTATGCATAATCAATAGCCTGATTTGCTCCTGTTGAGCCCAGGCATGTCAAACTCTTATCACTATTTGGCGGTGACCATTTGGATGAACTTAGACATACTTGTGCCTTAGCAACCAAATGGACTTTAAAAGGAGAACCCTGAGCCAGGAGAAAGGGGGGGCCTGCAGCCCCAGCTACTTTGGAGGCTGAAGCAGGAGGAGTTTGAGCCTAGTCAACAAGGTGAGACCCTATTAAAAATAAAAATAACCCTCATATGCGATGCCCTTTTCCTTATCCTTTTTCATTTCTAAAGTTATGACACATCCAGATATGCACATTGCACAGTCAGGTCCTTGGTATGGTTGTCAAGAGCTGCCAAGTCAAGTTTTAAAACTCGGTGGACTTCTAGTGTTGAGCTGGCCACAGAGCCCAGGCCCCCCTGTGGCCACTGGGATGTCTTGTCTCATTCAGAGGCAGCTCCTCAAATGCAGGGAAAAAAATCTTTGGTTTTTGACAAAATCGCAGTTGCTTCCCGGTGATCGTGTAGCTTCAAGGTGAAGAGGGACAGGTCAGTCGACGGGACTGATGGCATCATTTGTTCATAACAGCAACTGCCCCCACATGTGCGCATCTGGGATTCTGTGACATTGAACACGCTGCATGTCATCGGGATAGGCTTCTTTGACCGAGCTGTCACCTGTATTGCATTCTCAAAATCTGTAAGTATGAAGCCCGTGGTGTTGTGGCCTCGGGCCTCAGGGGGAGCCCCCAGGCTGGAGTGGGGGGCTTACCGCCTGTGCAGGTGCAGATTCGCACTCTGGGACCTTCTGGCTTCCCAGGTCCCCTCATCAGGGACACTCTTCCAGTCGTACGCTTCAGCCATGTGGGCGTGGTAAAGGAAATAGCCCCCACCCCCATATTTGTCCTCATGTTCTTCAAGGCAGCCTTCCTGCTCTGGCCTTGAACGTCACCTGCTGCCTTGGCAGGTGGCTTCCACTGGCCCCGTTGACTGTGTGCAAACAGGTTGGAGGGGGCCTCAAGGCTTCCCGGCTCCCTCAGGGTGTTCTGGCCCAGCCGATCCACGCTTCTTCATCCAGCTCACACACATGCACACACACATACCCACACACGTTCACAGCCACAGCTGTGACAGACCCCGGGACCTGCCGCCGAGGGCACTGTCTCCTCCAGGAGCTGCCCTGAGCCCTCTGGGCAGACTTTCCTGGAGCCTGGATGAGGAGCTGCCTCTGACCCCGGCCCTCCCACTCTGCCCCTCGGGAGCCCAGGCTCACCTACGCTCCCTGTCTGGCCAGGGATGCGGGTCCCAGAAGCAGCGGGTGAAGAACGGTGACTAGAGTAGCAGTTTTTACTAAAATCGTGCGCATCCCAGTTTACTCTCAATGAAGTCTTGCTATGAACAGCTTTCTCTTCCAGAACGGAGGAAGCAACCTCTGCGCTGTGGACGACTCCAATGACCACGTACTGTCCCTGTGGGACTGGCAGAAAGAAGAGCGGCTGGCCGACGCGAAGGTCTCACTCAAGCCCCAGCGCGACTCCCCACGCGGGCCCTGGCACAACCTCAGCCCCTCAGCAGCTCCCAGCTGCCCCTGCCCCACCCTGCCGCAGTGTGGCTCCTTCCCCTTGAGGTCTTGTGGCCCCACCCTGTCCCCTGGCAGGACCTGATCCTGAGTGCTGTCACAGTTATTTCTTTGTTCATTTTTTGTTTCACTCCCTAGTGAGGGAGCTGCGGCAGCCTCTGCTGCCAGATGAGGCAGCCAGCACCCAAGCTCCAGGCACTGCCCCAGCCCGGGCACCTCCCAAGCTGAACAGACTCTGGGGGGACTTGAGGCCAATCAGATCCCTCCTGGGGTTCTCCCTGCAGTGGTCCCCTTTGGCCTTCTTTCACTGCCTTGAATCCATTTTACCCAGAATGTCAACTTAATGTTCCTGAAGCTCCTTATGTTTTCATCCTGTTGAGATCATCATTGGATTCCTATTTTTATAGAACTGACTTTGGATTTCTCATCTTGGCATCTATTAGCCTTAGATAACCGAACTTACCTGACATTAGAGACATCAGATAGCATCACTTGTCTCACACCAAGGTGACCGCTGGATACCTCGCTCTCCTGACACTGGGGTCACCCCCGCTGACCTTTCACACCCAGCCATCTCTTGTGTGTCCGGGAGGCAGATCCTGTGCTCTCGTCAGGCGTGCTTCCTATCACGCTGGAGCCCTGCCGTCCAGTGTCCTCGTCAGGAATCCTGGGTGTCCTTGCCATGTTGCTAGGTGGGAAGGGATCAGAAGCAAGTTTTCATCCAGGTTCAAGGACATATAACTGAATTCCTAGCAAGGCCAGGCTTAGCAGGCCGAGCGCAGCCCTAGAGGCCAGGAGAGCAGTTGAGAGGTAATGAAGTAATCGCCAAAGACCCAGACCCAGCACAGTGGACCCCAGACTGAGCCTCAGGCAGAGGCCCAGGAACAGGAAGGGGTCAGGGCAGCCAGGAGAGTGGGGCTGTGGGAATCCAGATTCCCACCCTTCTCTGGAGTTCCCCTCACGGGTGGGGACGAGGCCTAGAGCTCAGCACCTTGCCATGCGCCAGGCCTGGGAGATCAGCATGGGCACTGCAGCCCCTCCTGCCCTGCGCGGTTCGCTGCCCTGAGCTCCCCATCCTGCGGGGGTCAGGCGAGGGGGTGGTCAAGGCGCGTGGCCAGTACCACTTCATACAGGGTGAATTCAGTGGGAGACTCAAAAGGCATCGTGCTTGGCTGGAATGAGTTGTTTATTGGTAGTTCAGGTTTATATTCTTAAGAGAAAATTGTCTTAGGAGATTCCAGGTGTCTGATTGCCCTGTTTCCCCTCAAGTGTTCTAATGAAGCTGTGTTTGCTGCGGATTTCCACCCCACGGACACCAATGTCATAGTCACCTGTGGAAAATCACATCTCTACTTTTGGACACTTGAAGGAAACTCCCTCAATAAGAAGCAAGGATTGTTTGAGGTAAAGTTACATCTTTTGTTGAGTTTTCCCCTGGGAGGTGCATGTGATCAACTGGGCTTTAGGGGGGCGCTGAGGTGTCCCAGTCTGGACTGCACCTGGGGGTGTGGTGGCACATCATGCTCTAGGACCCCTCACCTAGACAGGAGCCGCTTGTGCCTGTGGGCCTCACTGGTAATGCAGTGACCAGGGCAGGGAGCAGGCCCCGGAGAGGAGCTGGGACGGCACAGGCCAGAGGGTGCGTGGGGGCGCGGCCGTCTCGTGAAGGGTGCCGGAGGCGTGTGTGCCTTCTGTCAGCCGGGAGAGCACGCAGGGACCTTCTCCTGGGCTGTTTAGAGGGGCCTTTGTTCTGGTGTGGGGTTCTGCTTCTTATTCTGTGGTCAAGACAACACGGCCCGCCCCTAGTCCCCGCCAGCACCCCTTCTGCTCGACTGTGCAACCTCAGGATTCCCCCGCCATTTGGAGCCCCAGAGTCTCTCCTCCTCTTGCAGCAGCGTAGTTACGTAAGGGTGGATAAAAATGAAAGCCACAGGGGATTGCTGTGGCTCCAGCTCTCGAGACCACAGGAAAGGCTGTCCTGATTCAATACACACATGTATGTATTTACTACATTCTGCAGAAACAGGAAAAGCCAAAGTTTGTCCTCTGCGTGACGTTTTCTGAAAACGGTGACACCATTACTGGAGATTCCAGTGGCAACATCTTAGTATGGGGAAAAGGTAACAGTGCCAATGCTTTGGTAATAAGCAAGACTTCAAGGATGACTTCTATAAGAACTGTCTGTTGATATGATCCACAGAGTTACTGTTAAATTCCAGGGTGTGTGTGTGTGTGTGTGTGTGTGTGTGTGCGCGCGCGCGCGCGCGCGCGCGTGTGTCCTGAAACCATAAAACTGGAACGGAAGAAAGCTGGAGAGTGGTAAGTTAAGTGTACCACCCTAGAGGGTCTTTAGGACCGAGGTGCCGTGAAGGATTTAATACGTTATTAGGAGATCTGTTAACAAGCTATAGCGATGAAGTTATAATGGCCGCATAGCTAGAAAATAGTTAGGTAACTTTCCTGGTTCACACAGCCTTGGGCAGACGTCTCTTAATTGCTACAACTAGCAGTGTGTGAGCTGCTCTCGGGGAGCCAGAGCCAGATCCCTGCTGCTGCCCCTGCTACTGCGAGCCGCTGGGGACAAGAGATTCACTCTGGAAAGATGTGCTCAGTTCAGGGCAGGCGACTTGGGGACATTTACCACGGCCAGGAAAATACATCACCCCAGTTCAGGGATCGGAGAGTTGAGGTCGGGGTGAGGTGGAGAGGGACCCCCAGTGGGCCTTCAGAACGAGGTGACTTGTAGACACCCCGGCTCCTGGTGCTTGAGGCACTGCTTGCTTAATCCTTGGAACAGTCCTGTGGGGGAGCAGTGGCCTGTTCCCCAAGGTCGACCTGAGGAAAGGAGCAGGCACCTGGCCCAGCCCGCAGCTCACTCTGGGGAAGGCGTGGGCACGAACACAGGCCACGCTCCCGGCCACAGCGTGCACCTTTCCCTCATCACAGAGGAGTCCGCTGAGGCTCGCTGGAGCACTGTGAGCTTCTAGAAATTGAGTCCTTCGTAGAGTTGAACTCAGCACCCCACCCTCTCAGCCCAAGTGAAGTGAGGTCGGAGGATGGACTAGGGAAGCCTGTGAACACGCTAACGGGGTCTCCTGCGTGTCTAGGTACCAACCGCATAAGCCACGCCGTCCAAGGGGCCCACGAGGGCGGCATTTTTGCGCTTTGCATGCTGAGAGACGGCACGCTGGTGTCCGGAGGAGGGAAAGACCGGAAGCTCGTTTCTTGGAATGGAAACTATCAAAAACTTCATAAAACTGAGGTGAGTCGGCAGGCTGCTACAGACTCGTTTTAACCTTAAACTGTTTTTCTGACTCATTTCCTTGTTAGTTTAGAATCCTTAACTTACAGTTTTAAAAATTGTTTAGATGGAATTATATGGAAACAACGTGTTTTGTTACAATTGTGGAGGCAATTAAAGTACAACTAAAATAAACTTAAATTGATAAAAATTTGAGGCTAATGGACACTTCATATTTACAGTGTTTTCCTAATAGGGCCAATTTAATTTTACAGGGGACTATAACCCACATTTTGATTTATCATTCAAGTCTTTCCTGCCTTTTACTAATTTCCAGCCTGTTACTTTGCCAACATTATCATTCTGCACTTAGGTTTATTGAGTATCTACTTTGTGCCTGGCTCTCAGCTCAGGGCCAACAGGCTCTGTAGCACTCCGGCTGCTTAGGAGACCTGCTTCACCTCCAGGTTACCTAGGAGCCACCCTGCCTTCCTGGAAGCCAGAGGCAGGAAATTTAATATTCCTCTACACACAAGAGTTTTCCCCCCAGGGTTCCAGGAAATTATGAGCAGACAGAAGGGAAAATTGCTGTCGATCTAACAGGTGATGCTCTGCGTCCCTAGTGTAGAGGGACATGCTGCAGCACTGTTCCAGCTTCTAAGTCAGAGCGCACAAGGCCTGCGTAGTACAGCACGTGACAAGGCCCTGTTCAGCAGTGGGGGATTTGGTTCTGCTGACCATCGCCTGCATCAAGGAGGCCTTCCCCGAGCATCAGCCGGCACTCCCCCTTGGTGGAGTTTTAGTCTGAGAACTTTTTATGCTAAGGTTTGATCTGCACTTGAGTGAACATGCTCTGTATTACTAGTCGTAGATGTTCCCGTGTTAAATTATAACAGCAAAGGAAGCACCGAAGCCTCATTGGAGGTAACTCGCCACTGTTGGTATCTGTGACTCCTCTTTGTGTGGATCGCCATCACCTTTTCCCAAGCCCAGGCCAATGGCCTGTCTGGAAGATAGAGAAAGGGTATGTGGGTGGCCCACTGTCCCTGAGCTAGGCCACTGTCCCTTGCGCTGGGCCACTCTCCCTGAGCTGGGCCACTCTCCCTGAGCTAGGCCTGCCTGGCCCAGAGACCCTGTCTTCCTGGAGGGCGAGAACTTCAACTCTTCATGGCAAATTGCCTCAATGAGTGCGTTTTGAATCCTTTTCTTAATATTTGGATCATTTCTGGTGTCCATCAGTATGAACAGTGGATTTCAAAACTAAACAGAGCAATGTTGCCATTTCAAAGTTACAGCAACTCTTACTGGTCCTTATTTTCCAGACCTTATCAACTCTTGCCACAGAAGTCATAACAAGTGAAGAGCAGACTAACCAATTATATTCCTTTATTATTTTGGGGGTCAGAAAAAATACCCTTTTTTTTTTAAACAACTTGACTTTTGCTGATTCTTTGAAGATATGTAAACTGTTTATAGTTTTAGCAGTAAGGTTTGGGACCAGGGATGGAGCACAGTGGTAGCATGCCTGCCTAGCGTGTGCGAGGCCCTGGGTTCAATCCCAGCACTGCAGAAAACATTAATAAAAATAAATAATAAAAAAGTAAGATTTGGGGTTTCAGTCGTTCACTCCACAGCTGTGGTGGCTAACCTCTCTCCGTGTGTGCACATGTATATGAAACTGCTGAGTCCTTCCCATGTGATGGATAGACAAGGACTTTGGATGCTTGAGCTGACAATTTCATAAAATCTGAGATCTTTTTCACACCATGCTTTCCAATGCAGATTCCTGAACAGTTTGGCCCAATCCGGACGGTGGCCGAGGGGAAGGGCGAGGTCATCCTCATAGGCACGACTAGGAACTTCGTCCTGCAGGGCACCCTGTCAGGGGACTTCACACCCATCACTCAGGTATGGTTAGCTGAGCGTTCAAGTAAGCTCCAGAAGGAGGCAGTCACTCCTGTGTCCCCCTGAAATGGCCTTGGCAGAGAGACAGATGAGGGATGCACTGAAGGGGCCCGTGCCGTCGTCCCTGCAGACCCCCCCTGTAGACTGTGGGGTCTCAAAGCTCCTGTGTCTTGCTTCTTTGCAGGGTCACACTGATGAGCTCTGGGGACTGGCCGTCCATGCTTCCAAACCTCAGTTCTTGACCTGTGGGCATGACAAGCACGCCACTCTCTGGGACGCTGTCGGCCACCGGCCCGTCTGGGACAAAATCATAGAGGTAAGCATGCGTGCTACACTTCCACCTTTCTTGTAGAAATTTACCTGGAACTTGCTCATTTTTTCTTGCAAGCCAGCCTCCCCTCTGAGCTCTTCAGAGTAGCGCTGCTCTCCACGTGCCCCGACGGCTCTCGCCCTGCAGTGCCGACGTTCCCCTGAACTCTTAGCAGGTCAAGTTGCTCATGGGTTCTTGGGCACAGTGTCCTCACTGCCTCAAGTGCTGGAGATGCCTGTCATAAGCCGTATTCTGTCTGTGACGTGATTCTTGGATAGGAGCTCCCAGGGTGTACTGAGAACAGTTCAATTCGTCTCTACGTTCTCAGTGTGATGGTAAAGATAAAGCATTAGTTTTAAAGTCAGCATCTCTGTGAACTTTGCAAAAGGAGCACAGATTGCATACCTTTCCCTCCATGTAAAACAGGCCTGCATTTCTTGAGCACTGGCTGTTTGCCTGCCAGACACTGGATGTGTGTTGTCTTAATCCTTGCGGCCACCCTGCAGGTTGAAAATTTTTTTTCTCGGGCTGGGGATGTGGCTCAAGCGGTAGTGTGCTCGCCTGGCATGCGTGCGGCCCAGGTTCAATCCTCAGCACCACATACAAACAAAGATGTGTCTGTCGATAACTAAAAAATAAATATTAAAAAAAGTTCTCTCTCTCTCTCTCTCTCTCTCTCTCTCTCTCTCTCTCTTTCTCTTTAAAAAAAAAAAAAGAAAATTTTTTTTCTCTCTGATTTTATCAACTAGGAAATTGAGGTTTAGAGAAGTTACATAACTTGCCAAGGTCACTGATTAGTCGCAGGACAGTACTTACACCCAACTGGCCAACCCAAGGCTCTGTCCTCAGCACTGCACTGTGAGAGTCAAAGGGACCTCCTGTGTTCTTGCACCCTTGATGATATACACAGCCCCAGCATATTCTTTAATGCCCTGCAGAGTGGCTGGCATCCCCCAGGTGCTGGGTCTGGCTCTCCTCTCTCTACTTTCAGAGAAAGGTTCGATGGGTTGCTGACCACTGTAGCCAGCTGAGCATGGGAGGGACGAGCCAGAGGGGCTCAGCGGTGCTCAGAGAGGGCAGCCTTCCCCTCTGTCTCATCAGCATGACTGCCTCAGGAAGCAGTGACAGTCCCTACACTTCCCTGCCCCTTCACCACTCAGCTTGATCGTAAAGGTGGGGCCGGAGCTGGAAGCCAGAGGCCTGCAGCAAGTCAGCTCCTGGGCCACTGGCCCTGTGACTTTGGACAGGAAGCCGTCACTTCTCTGTACTGCAGTGTCTTCATCTCACAATTGTCATGAGGCTCAGATTAATGGCCTGCACCAGTGCTTTTGTAAATGGTAAAGTGCCAAGGGAAACCTGCGGTCCACGTGTGGGTCGTGGCGGCCTGAGCTCCCACTTAGGAAGAGGCATCTAGAGGATAAAGCCAGAAGCCGCTGCTTCTTTCCAGTCTCTGGAGTCTCTAGTTAATCCTCGAGCATCTCTGTGCCCTCCATGTCCACTCCTGGCTTCTTTGCAGGGGTCAGCTGGTTTTATCTCCAGACAGCTCACTATTTGACCAAGTGACCACTGAGCATAATCTAAACTAGGGCTCAGAAAAAAGAGCATTTCCCTGTTAGTCTCTCATCTGATGACTGTAGATATGAGAGGGGATAAGACAAAAGGAAAAATTCTGAAAGGATAAAACTTTAGTATTATTGAAATGTGCCAATTGTAATGCATTCCTCTGTCATATATAAATAAAAAATTAATTTAAAAAATTTTAAAAGATTTATGGTACTTAGAAACTTACAAAAAAAAAAAAAAGAAGAAGAAGAAGAAGAAGAAATGTGCCACATATCCAGGGGGAAGCCATCCTCCTCTGTGGAGAGAAAGGACTTTCCAAATAGAGCCACTGGGCTTACGGGGGTGGCGGGGCATGGGGGTGTCATGCTGTGGTGCTATATCTGCCATCAATTTACACTTCCTTTAAAATATTTTAGGATCCAGCTCAGTCTTCTGGTTTTCATCCTTCAGGGTCTGTGGTCGCGGTCGGAACACTGACTGGGAGGTAAGCCCACCCCAGGCGGCCTGTGCTCGCACCCCATGTGCCCCCAGGCCCCGCGCAGCCAGCTCCCGACTGCGGCTTCTCAGCTCCCAGTGACTCTCCAAGAATCAGTCCAAACTCAAAACTTAAGGCAGTGGTCCTTCCTGTTTTGAAACTGGGGGTCATTTTGTAAAGCTATAGGTCCTCAATCATATAAAAATGCCTGGTCCTCAGGCCCCCCCAGAGTCTCCCCCCAATCTGCCTCCAGGTTCAAAGTCTGTGGAGCTCCCCGGGCCTGCCCGAGAGCTCAGGAGGAGGAATCAGGCGAGAAAGCAATCCAAAGCACCCAGAACTTAAAACTGCTTCTTTTTTTTTAACTGGACTTTCAGAATTTTGAGAGTGCCCATTCTGAGCCTCGTGTTCAGGTTTGCTAGTGTTTATCTACGCGCACCTCCGACGTCTGTGTTGGAACTCTGCTTTGCCACTTGGCAGTGTGTGTCTTTGAGCCGGTCACATGAACTTTCTGAACTTGTTTCCTCTGTCAGTCATGGTGGTACTGTCTGCCTGGCTCTGTCGCACAGGGCTGAAGGGGGCCGTGGTGAAGCATCCTGCCCTGTGTCCTAACCCGTGACAGCACCTCTAAGTTAGGCACAGGAAGAGCCTCACCACAACAATAAAACAGAGCAATTATAACAAACATGAATTAGGTGGGTGCATCTCTGCAGAAACAGCTGATTGCACCGTGTCCCCCTCTGCTGCGATGACGTGAGGTGACACAGTGCCTGCCTGATGAGAAGGGAGGCAGGTGACGTGCACAGTATGGCACATGCTTTAAAACTGCTTATTTCTGGAATTTTCCATTTAATATTTTCAGACCAATGTTGACCGTGGGTAACTGAAACAGGAAGGAAGACCCGGGGCGGGGCGGGGTGGCGCGGGGGGCTGCCCACATGCACTTACTGTGGTTTCACTGAGATACTTGATGGTTTCCTCCCATCCTTTCTCCTCGAGAAGTGCACCACTTAGATGCCGTTGTTGTCTGGAGGGTAGAAAGAGAGTGACCGTCCCACGGCATTCACAGGTCATCAGAGTGCGTTGCACGGCGCCCTTGTGCGGCCCCCCCCTTCCGTTTCACTCTCCCAGGCAGCTGGGGCTGGAGCTCAGCAGGCCCCTCCTCTGAGCTCCCACAAAATGCCATCACCTCCCCGTGCACCACAGGGAGAGCATGCTCAGAACAGGCAGCGGTGTGGGCTTGAGGACGTGGCCCCTCCGTCTGCCCCTCCCATGTTGCTGGTCCCAGGCCAGATGCTCTGATACTGTCCTTTAGACAGGACATTTCAAAGGCACGTTCCAGTCAGCCCAGCCTTGCTATTTGTTACCTTCTGGCCTCTGTTAAGGTTAAATAACATGTTAAAGATACATGGTTGTTCAAGATGCCAGAAATCAAAGCCGAGAAGCAGCATCCAAACCTCAGGCAGTCCTGATGGGCAGTGGTCAGTGCTGAATGGAAGGCAAGCACACAGCAGCTCCACGCCAGTGGTGTCCAGGGTTGAAACTTTGCAGCCTCGGGGAGCCCACAGCCGTTCAGCCCCGCAGCCCGGTGCCCCACCCACCGCCACCCCTCAGTGTTCAGTCTTTCTGAAGTCCATCAACCCTGAAGCGGGTGCAGGGTCCCTACCAAAGGTAGGAACCACTCCCAGGTCCCTCACAACTCAAGCCTGCAGAGGAGACCCCAACTCTAATCCCATGTCACCACTGGAAACTGGCCGGAGAAGTCCAAGTCAAGGCCTGTCCGTTTGGCTCTCTTCCAGGCTTGCTGTCCCCCCATCCGCCCTGTGGCTGCTCCCTAGCACACAGAAGAGCTGGACTTGACCCAGCTGCCCAGCCCCTCCTCCTGCACCCGGCTGGTCCAGGTGGGGCCAGAGCTCTGGGTGAGCTCAGCAGGCGGTCCTTGGCCACTCCTCTGACCACAGGCTGCAGCACTAGGTGTTGGCCATCTTCCTGTGCAGGGCTCTCTCTCCTTCCGTGTGTAAATGACAAAACACAAAACACAATGCTGAGAGACCACGTCGTAGCGCTGAGAACTGAGTCTTTCCAGACCGCTGTGTGCTCTTCCTTTTCAGAGAAGGCTCGTGGGTATTCAGAGGACACTCCTCTGGATGAAACCTGGGAATAAGCTTTCTTACTGAGCCACCCGGAGTGTCCCGCCCTTTTGATGGACACTTGTTAACGGTCTTGCCCTACTGTCGTGCCCTTATTGACTTTCCCCCTAAACTGCCTCTCTGTTTCTCTTGTTTTAACAGGTGGTTTGTGTTTGACACAGAAACAAAAGACCTGGTCACCGTCCACACGGACGGCAACGAGCAGCTGTCCGTGATGCGCTACTCCCCAGGTGAGAGCTGCGCCCTGAGGAAAGCGCCTCGGCCTCCCCAGAGCCACCTGCACCACACAGGAGGGCGGCGTCTCTGCCCTCCTGCGCTGACGAGTGTTACCTCACTGTCATGGAGAATTCTGAGCATAGTCAAAATTAAACAGGACAGCCTAGTGACCCCTGTGCCCACCATGCAGGTCCACGATGGCCAGTGCTCAGCGGGGCCCGGCCTCCGCAGCTCGCACCCTTCCTCCCATGACATTGTTTCATCCGATAACTGTCGCATACATCCCCAGAAGGTGGGGGCTGTGTCTGACAGCTTTCTCAAGGTGTTATTTACCCACCAAGTGTACGGCTCAGTGATCCTTAGTGCATTTAGGGTTTTGCAACCATCACTACAATTCAGTTTTGAAACCTTTTCATCCCCCTGAGAAGTTCCCTCTGTATCTATGAGCCATTCATCTTTGCCCGCTGCCCCATTCAAGACAACTACTGATCTTCTCTTTGTCCATATGAATTGTTCTCCATAGTTAATTCCTTTTTAATTGCTATATAGCATTCCATTTTGGGGATATGCCATGTTTTGTTTAACTTTTCCCCAATAACGGACGTTTGGATTATTTCTCACTTTCTACTATTGTGAATAATGCTTCTGTGAATATTCAGGTATAAATGGCTTTTTGAAGGCATATTTTCATTTCTCTTGGGGAAGTTCCTAGGAGTTACATCAGTGGGTTGTATGGTGAACTTGTGTTCAGCACGCTAGGACACCGTCCAGCTGTTTTTCACAGTGGCTGTCGTAATCTCCATTCCTCCAGCAGTGTCGGAAGGCTCTGGGGTCTCCACCTCCTCCCCGACCCCTGTACTGCCTGTCTCTCGTGGTGGCCATTCTGAGGGGAGTGATGTGCCTGCTGTGGTTTTAATTTGGCCTTTCCCTAGTGACTGTGGACATTGGGCAATTTTTTATGTGCCCATTTGAGATTCCTAGATTTTCTTTGGTGAAATAACTATTCATGTCTTTTACCCATTTAAAATGAGGTTGCCTGTCTTACCATTGAGTTGCAGGAGTTCTTTCTTCTACATGTAAATTCTTTACCTGATAAAGGCTTCATAAATATTTTCCCCAGCATTGGGCTAGTCCTGCCATTTTCTTGGTGGAGTCTTTTGAAGTACAAATGTTTTGTTGTTGTTGTTGTTTTGATGAAGTCCAGTGGCTCAGTTTTTTCTCGTAGGGATTGTGCCCAGGGTCGGGAAGACTTCTCCTGTGCTTTCTCTCAGAGGTGTCGGGTTGGCCCGTGCGTTCAGGTGGGGCCCATTTTGAGTGGCTTCTCATGGACTGTGATAGCTAAGAGTCAGAGCGTGGCGTTCTACACACAGATGTCCCTCGTCCCTACACTGCCTGTCGACAGCAATGTCTGTCTCTATTGGATCGTCTTGGCCTTTTTGTCACAGATCAGTTGACCATAACATGAAGATTCATCTTTGAGACGCTCGGTTCTGTCCCTCCCCTGTGTAGACCCTGTCCCATCCACGTGGTCATGACTGTGACTTTGGGTAAACTTTGGAGCTGACTAGTGTGACTCCTCCAGCTGTTTGGTTACTTGCCAAGTTCTACTGGCTGTTTGGGTTCCTTGACATTATACAATATTACACACATTTTAGGATCAGCTTGTCACTTTGTGATTTTAAAAAGCCTATTAGGGGGGCTGGGGCTGGCTCAGTGGTAGAGCACCTGCCTCGCACGTGTGAGGCCCTGGGTTCAATCCTCAGTACCACATAAAAATAAATAAATAAATTTTAAAAAATTAAGAAGTCTAGTAGGGTCTTAATAGAAGTTATGCTGAATTTGTAGATCATATGGGGAGAATTCTCACCTTGATTGATAAATTGAGTCTTCTAATCCATGAGTATCTCTCCATTTATTTAGATTTTCTTTCTTTTTTCTTTTTTTCTTTTTTTTTTTTTTGGCTAGTGGGTGTTAAACCTGGGGCCTCATGTATGCTAGCTACATACTCAGCCCTTTTAAATTTTTTTATTTTGAGACAGGGCCTTGCTAAGTTGCCAAAGCTGGCCTCCAACTTGTGATCCTCCTGCCTCAACCTCCTGAGTAACTGGGATTATGGGTGTGAGCCACCATGCCCTACACACATCTTCTTTGATTGTTCTCAGGAATATTTTATAGTTTTTCATGTACAATTCAAGTCTTGCACTCTCTTTGTTAAATTTATTCCTAAGTTATTTTTATGTTGTGGTGAATGGAATTTTTTTCAGGTTGTTGGTTAGTAGTATATAGAAATAAAATTAAATTTTGCACATGGAACTTATATCCTTTCACCTTTCCAACTTTTTATTAGTTTTAGAGGGGTGTGTGGGGGGGTGACCATTGGGAGTTCTTCATTCCAGGATCACATCATCTGAAAATGACAATTTTTCTTCTTCCTTTTCACTCTGGATGTCTTTAGTTATTTCTCCTTTTCTGTGTTAGGTAGTACCTCCAGTAAAATGTGAAAAGAAGAAGGTCCCTTACTTTGCTGCCCATCTTAGATAAAGCCTCTCTCTCTCATCTTTAGGGATAAGGATGCCCTTCACCTTGATGAGAAAGTCCCCCTCCATTCCTGGGTTGCTCAGGGTTTTGAAGCACAAATGTTTTGTTGATGTTGTTTTGTGGTTTTTTTGTTGTTGTTGTTGTTTTGTTGTGAAGTCCAGTGGGTCAGTTTAGAATGGTGTTAGTTTGCCATGTGCTCTGTCTGCATTTATTAAGCTGACCACGTGGTTTTGTGTTTCTTTTTCAATGTGGTGAATTACACGGATTTTCCAGTGTTAAGCCAACTTCAGTTCCTCTGTGAATCCCGCTGGGTCCCGGGGTACAGTCCCTGTTTCATCTTACTGAACCCAATTTGTTAATAGTCTGTGAAGGACTTTTGCAGAAGTGTCCCAGGGGATGTTGCTCTGAGTTCCTTCCTGGTGCCTTGGCCTGATGTGGCTGAGGGTCCTGCAAGTCTTGAGGGTGTGTTGGGACCCTCCTTTCCTCTGTTTTCTGGGCTTGTGAAGGTTGCTGTTGTTTCTCGACTACATAGTTGACGGAACTCACGTGAATTCAGTGGAACCTTCTGGGCTTTTTCTTGGGGGAAGGTTTGTAATTGCTAATTCCATCTCTTTATTTATTATAGGTCTATTGGGATTTCCTGTTTCTTCTTGAGTCAGTTTGGTGGTTTGGGTTTATCTAGGGATTTTTGTTTAAGTTGTCTCATTTGTTGGTATAAATCTGTTGGTAGTACTTGCCTGTGTGATCCTTTCCGTGTCCCTGAGGTTGGGTCTCAGTAACTCATCTTCATCCTTGATTCTGGTAACTTGTGCCCTTGCTCTTTTCCCTTGATCGGGCTAGCCAGAGGTTTGCCAATTTTGCTGATCTTTCCAGAAAACCAACTTTTGGTTTCATGGGGTTTTCCTCTGTTATTTTCTGTTTTTTTCTCTTTTCTGTTCTGATCTTTTTTGTTTTCTTCTGTTCCTTTTTCTTTCTTTCTTTAAGTTTCTGAGGATGGAGGCTTGGGTTATTTGTTGGAGAATGTTCTTTTCTGGTATAGATATTTAAAGCTATAAATCTTAACTATTGCTTGAGCCACATCTCATGAACTTTGACATGTGTTCTCATTTTTATTCAGTTCAAAAGTATTTGCTAATTTCCCTGGTGTTTACTTTTTGGCTTATGAGTTATTTAGAAATGCATTGTCTAATTTCCAAATATCTGTGGATTCCGCATATTTCTTTCAGCTACTGGTTTCTGTTTTCATGTTATCATAGTCGTTGAGCAGACTTTGTGTGACTGGTCACTCTAAATACATTGAGGGGTGTCTTGTGGCCTCCTCGTGGCCTGTCCTGGGATAGGTTCCCTGGACACTGGAGACGAGTGAGTACCCTGCAGTCCTGGGCGGAGTGTTCTAGGTAAATCAGCTCGGACAAGCAGTTGGTAGTGTTGTTCATGGCCCCGTCCTGCTGATTCAAGGCCCCTGGCCTGCTGACTTACTAGTTGTCCTGCAGTGGTTGGGAGTGATGGATTACGGTCTCGTTGTGTTGTTGCTGTCACTTCTCAGGTCTTTCTGGTTCGCTTCGTGTAGTTGGAAGAGCACCTAGACAGAAGTGCATTTAAACACCTGTAGCCAGCCAGGCCTCCATCCGTGGATGTGCAGGCGGGAGAGGAAATTCAAAGTTCAGGCCCTTCAAACCCAGTAGGTGTGGCTTCCACCTGCTCTCTGCATCTGTGCAGTCTCCATGTGGCCAGGAGGCCCCGTATAGCCAGGGACCTCTCCAGCCTCCACCGTGCACACTACAGTGTCCCCCCACCCACCCCAGACCATGTTTACCCCAAGCACAGCCACCATCTCAGGCTAATAGAGCTGCTGTTCCTCCCCGCTGAGCCACCTGGAGACCATCCCTTCCATCCGCAGTGCTGCTGGGCCTCCGTGTCACCCAGGGCTTCACAGTGAGAGACCTGCTTTGGTCACAGCTGTGAAGCTGCTGTCCCCAGAGGCTGCTCCTCCCTGGCGTAACCTTGGTGCCAGCTGAGCTGCTGGGAGGGGATGAGGACAGCCCGGGAAGCGCTCCACAGGCTCACCCTGTCCTTCCCTGCCGTGCAGCACACACACCCTTAGACCGCCGGCCGTTCTGGCTTTGGTCGATGTCCAGATTGCTGAACGGGTTCTGGTGAGCTTTGCCCAGGGTTGTCGTGGCCTTGAAGGAGAGAGTTCCCGGCCTCCCGCCTGGCCGCAGCACCAAGCCCACCCTCTAGAGTGCCAAGTCACCACGCCATGGTCTCCTCCTCACGCCAGATTAACACAACTCCCTCAGCTTCACCGGAGGTCCGGGTGGTGCTCAGTCCAACGCTCGCTCTTTTCCACAGTTGTTTAAATCAGGACCCAGAACAAGGCCATCCGTGGTCCCTGCTGATCCAGGGGTGCCCCCCCCCACGGCAGCTGAAGAGCTGCCCCTCCCCTGTGGGTTTCCCACTCTGCGTTTGCTGACCG